AAATAATGTCACGGCTTTTTCTCCTTCCTGACCCTGAAAAATCTTGGAAAACAGGATTTGGCCTCATTGCCTGTTCCTTGATTTCTTTCTTGGGACAATTATTTTTATTTGTTTAGAAGCACAGGCTTCTTGCCTTCAGTTTTTACAGATTTTGAAGTAACTGCTCAGCACACTTCAGTCTCCTCCTTGGGGAAGGCAATGGGAAAGTCTCAGCTGGCCTTGGTCACTCTGGGTACTGAGCAGGATGAAGAACCTCAATATTCAAACCAATTCAGAGCAGAATTATATAATTGTAATTCTGCTCTGTTTCCTCTTACTTCCTTGCCTTTCCTTTTGCCTTTATCCTTGCTTTTAACTTTTGCTTTCTTCTCTTTTCCTTTCCACCCTTCTCTCCTTTTTCCCCTCCATGGACAACTTGTAACAGGATGATTTCCACAAATCTGAATACCAATATAGCCCTTAACAGAGGTGCCCTAAAATAGGCAAACAAACAAAAAAAACCCACGGAGAAGCAACCAAAATCCACCTCAAAGCCATTCAACAAAAAAAAATTTGAACCTTGAAGCTCTGGTTTACTCCTGCACGAGTAACATCCAGTAAAATCTGTGAGTTTGGTGTTCCTAGTGAGCTCCATGGACTCTGTGGTTTTACAGATTTCATCTTGGATTTATAAGAAAATCAGCAAGCAAAAGTGAAGTTTTTGTTATGGTTTTTAAAGGAAAATAAAAGTTCTCTATTTTAAAAGGACTTTAACCAGTCTGTCACTCCCTAAAGCTGCTGCCAGAGAAAAGAATCCAGCCTCTGTCAAGGACTTGGCTTTAAAGGCAGTTAGACAGGCACAGGCAACAAAGCACTGAAACACTAAAAACTCCACCCCATATATTCCAATGGCTGTAAATTAAAGCAACAAATAATAAACCTTGGAGGTGAGACTGGTTATTGAAGCAATGTTTGCAGTTTCCATTTCTCAGAAAGTATCAATATCATTTTCATGAGAGATTAATATTCTCCCCCCAAATAACAGACAAAAAACCAAACCAAAACAAAAAAACCCAAAAAAAACCTCAAACCAAACCATTAGCAAGGTGCTTGTCTTTCCAAAACACTATATCCATATTTCTCCACTGTGGTTCCAACCCAATACTCACAGATCACAGTGAAATCTGTGGAAGAAGAGGCTTAACAGAGGTTTTCCTTTTCTGAGTGGACAATTAAAAGAAAATAATAATTATAAAAGAAAAGTAATCTGCTTATATTTTTTCCATCATCATTTAACTAAATTTTTCCCAGCTTCCAAAAGAACTTCATTTAAAATTAAATTAAGGTCAGTTAAAAAATAAAAAAACAAACAAAAAAAAGGAAGGAATAAAGATGAAAACAGTGAGATGTTCATGACTGTGCTTCTCATAAAGATTTTGATGTGCACATGTGTGGGTGGAACCTGAATCCAAATCAATCCCAATCAATCACTGTGGTATTCACGTGCCTTCTGAACAGAGAGAAGCTGTGAGAGAAGCAGAGAAAAGAATGATCAAAGCAATTCTTATCTCATTTGCTGCTCCTGTGTTTGTGCTCATGTGGAATGTGTTCTGGAGATTGTTTACCCAAGGATTGCTTGATTGGATTCTGGTGCAATAGTTTATCTTAATTAGCCTATCAAGCTGTGTCCTGATTGTCAGGAGACAGTCACAAGTTTTCTTTTAGCATTCTTTAGTATTATTTGCACTACGGTATAATATAGTATAATAAAGTAATTAATTAGCCTTCTGATATCATGGAGTTCTGTGCATCATTCCTCCCTGCCTTGGGGGATCCTGGTATATCTGATAAATCAATTCCTAAGCGTTCGATAAATCTGGGCAGGAACTCGAGGTGGGGAATTGAAAGAATATTGCAATCAATGTATGGATCCATAGGTACCCAGATCAGGGAATTACTGAGCTTGGGAAATTCCTCTCAGACCATGGAGTCCAAGCATTCCCCCAGCACCACTGTGCTCACTGTACTCTGTCCCCAAGTGCCACATCCACAGGGTTTTGAACACTTCAAGGATGGTGATTCCAGAATGGCACAGGGGGACTAAATTCAATTTTAACCACTTTATTCTAAGGCAATGAAATGACTCAGTAAATTCTACTTTTAATCATACAGAAATCATCATCAATGCCTTTGTAAATGGCCTGAAAAGCTGCAGATAGAAATTGTGCTCTAATATTAATGATCCACATTCACAACTGGCAGAAATTGTTTAAGCTTCATCAGCTTCATTGAATTTGGCCATTCTGTCCCCTGAACTGCTGCTACACAATTTGTACATGATACAAAGTTCTTAATATTGTAAACATAATATTTTAATTTTTTTAAATACTCACAAGTTTATTTACACTTTATAGAATTTAAAAAAATAATAAAAACTTTGAGTTGGAAGAACAGGGACTTGTTCTTAACTATTGAATCCCAACAAAAACACATTGATGCTGTCAAGATGCACTCAGTCCAGAGTTTATAGCACTTAGCTATAATTCAAATTATATCAAAAAGTGAATTAAAAATGGAATATAAGTATTTTTGGTGCATATTATTGATCTATATAATGGAACTTTATGCCTGCCCATTAAAAATTTTTAGTAAGAAAATGTATAGAATGTTGGGTCACAAATTTTAGCTGAATATAAAGCTCAGACATACATTTTGTTTTGTTTAATAAAGAAATCTTGATGGTAGGAAGAATTCTTCATAGCTCCTCTTCCACCAAAAGACAGCTTTAACAGAAGAGTGCCACAAAATATTTTACCATGTCAAACTGGCAAGATAATTTTCCTTCTGTGAATTCATAAAACCAGCTCATAAACTTTTAAAAAGGAGCTAAATTTATAGCACTTATTCCACTGATCTGTTGTTGGGTAGTAAAAATAGGCTGACATTAAGCTGGGGGCTACAATACCACAAGTAATATTTAATCCTCCCCAAATCAGTTTTTAGCTTGTTTTGTTGATTCCTGTTCTCAAAGTGAACACAGAGACTGCAGAGCTAGAACAGCTTTTGCTTTTCCATCTCACAGGGCAGTTCCTGGGCTTTTGGTCCAAAAGTCACACTTAAAGTGTCCTGAACTGGTGCAATTTTCATTTGTTCCTTCTAAAATAATCTAAAATAATCAACCTCAGATGAACGAGTGCAGAGAGGCAGGGGAGGATGAGCTCAGACACTTCCAGACACCCACAGTTCGTGCACCTCTATCCCACCAGGGCACCTGATCAGTGTGTGGAGACCCAGCCTGTGAGGTCAATGAAATTTGGAGCATGATTTACCCAAAACCAGCCAAACCCACTGCTTTCAGATGAGAGCACTTGGCAGCACTGCCTGCACTGAATTACTGAGAGCACTGATATAAAGGGCTTTAAAATGATCAGCACAGACCCAATCACATACACTGAGATGAATCCAATCCCTGCTCTGGCAAGGCAAAAACAGATTGAAAAAAGAAAAAAGAATATTTCTTCTCGCTCTATCAATCTTGCAGACTTTTCTACTTTTATACAATCTATGTATTTTTATACAATATAGCAGAATTTTCAATTTTTCAATAAGGTGGTGCATTTTCAGTTGCTTATATGTATTTTTCAATGAAAAGTTGTTTTGTTTAGCAACAGTTCAGTCATCAAGAAGTACATTCACCCGCACAGACCAAAGAGTAATGTTTGCAGTGATTTTCTGGAGATGTATAACACATAATCAATCAACTCAGAAGAAAAGGCTGTGTATTATTTATTCAAATCATAGAAACTTTGATGTAGTGGCCTAGTCTTGATGTGCTACTGAATTTCTTCTCTTATATGGCTCCTGTCAGAATGACTTCTGCAACACCACTGAGTAGAAAACAAAAACCACACTCCCAGCCATGAATTTATTTGTATCTTATTTTCAAGAACAGATCTCAGAGAACCACCTGAAATTTTTAAATGAGTAAATAAGAGTATCTCAATAATTCTTTCAGCATTGCACCAAACTCACCTGTCGCTATAGGACATGAAATAAAACAATGTGGACACGCAGCTTTCTCAAGGTAAAAAAGAGAGTTTTTAATTTTTGACTCTAACATTTATAGATTTTTAAAAGCGACAGTAGATTGGAGGGTGAAAGTGCCACCTCTCCAATGACACTGGACAAACTAACAGTCTATTAAATTTCACTTCTTCCATAAAAGAATGTAAAACAATAGGTTATTTACATAAAGTGTGTGAGAAAGTTTGTTACAAGAATGTAAACACTAGAAAACTTAGAAAAACTTAAAAAACCAGGGTGACACTTGTTGAGAAGGATGAAAGTTTCACAAAACAGTCTCACAGATATGTATGCTTGGCGGAAAGATTTTGAATGTAGAATCTGAAGAAGGAATAGAGATGGAAGCAAGTTTTGATAGAGAAGAAAAGAATTGCTGAGCCAGTCTCACTGGATAACCAAGGAGGCAAAGGGTGTGTGAGTTACAAGGGGGTTTTATGGCTTAGAGCAAAGGATAAACCCACCTCAAACAAGAAGATGTTTTTACCAAGCAGAAAGAGAGCACAGGCAAACAAGGCAGCAAATGTTGCAAGTAGAAAAAAGATCTCAGAATTTTCCACTGCAAGAAAACTGAAAAACAACTTCTGGCTTTAACTGTAATGCACTAACTTATAGTGATTTGAGAATAGTGACATGAATATGGTAATGACAGTAGTTATGATGGGCTAGAGATAAAAGTTAAGGTACAGATTGGTTCTACTGGATGAAGATGCTCAGCAAAGGAAAGTCTATAAGGCATTGTAACCAAAAGCAAAGTCTAGAATGCATTGTAACCTAAACTCAGGGTCTCCAGGGCTGCCTGCAGCTGGAGCTGACAGCTGTAGGCACAGCTCTGTCACCCATAGCCCTGGACTGCTGGGACACCTTGGATGGGATAAACTGCATTTTGGACAGCAGCCTGGGGTCCTGCATCCCTCTTTTTAGCTCTTACAGACACTCACCTGTTTCAGAGAGCAGTTTGGTCGCTTCCAGCACCTTCTCAGTGTACACCCCAGTCTCGTAGTTCTCCATCTCAGCGTTGATGATGTGGATGACTCTGGCTGCGCGGCCCCGGATGGCGCCCGCGGTCCTGTCCAGCGTGTCCACGTCCCCCTCTTGCAGGGCAATCACACACTTGTTCACATCTTCCAGGATGTGGTTTTCTGGAATTCAAGTTAAAAATACACCTGGTTTGATTGCACTCTTCCTCACAGCAAAGCTTACTCATTTGGGCAAATGTCAGTATATTAAAAAATGGATATCTACCTTTATCCGGGCTGGAAAACAAAAGCTCTTCTGTGATATTGTCACATAACAGTAAAAATCTGTGTGACATTTAGCTTTAGTAGGGACTGGGCTACATCATCCTACCTCTGCTGTGTGTCCCAACCTGTAATTCCTTTAAAACCACTCACATTAATTTCAAACATCACACTGAATTTTATCATAATGAAATTGTAATTAAAATGAATGCAAAATAGAAAGCAGTCAAATATTTTGTAGATTCTCTAATAAACAGCTGAGCAATTTTCTGAAGGTGAATTTACACTCTCCCATAAATGTTTATTACATTTGGCACATTTTTGCCTAAGTAAGTCAGGAAAAAAATATCACATTGAAAAGACAACAGCAAATGGCCTTTGTAGATAGCACAAAATCTGGGCATGGGCAGTTCATCTCCCTCACTCCATCTATGCCAGAGAATAAACTGGGAATTTCTAATAACACACCCTTATAATCATGTGTGACTTTGCATAATCTGAAGCAAGAGATGACAACAGTGACTCTGCTCAGGGGAGGTGATATCAAGCACTTTAATTGGATTCTTGGGACATGCATTGGTTTTTTTCTGGCTCTGGATCAGGCCATCTCCTCTCATGTGCTACAGCATCAGAATTTATGTAGTATTCTCACATGCAAATTATGTGAAAGCATGAAGACTCTGACTAGGTCAGGCATTATTCTCTGAAGTCAATAGAGTCAAAAACAATTTTACTAAGACCAAGACTGAATTTCGTATTTGACTAAACTCAGTCCGAGAAACTCAGTGACTCTAAACAGCAACTTGAATTTTTGCAAGAGACACCTCTGAACTGAAAAGGAAATGCTGTTCTTTGTAGTAGTAGTAGTAAAACAGAATTAATCAGTTCACCAACTGTTTTTTGTTAATTATCCTTTGCCACTAGAAAGAATGACTCACTAATCTTCACAGTTAAAAATTCTGAGGTTGGATCATTTGAGGGTTTCAGAAATGTTTTACACGATGTCACATTTTACACTGCAACAACTTTGGATGGAAACTGAAAGTCCCCTGAGCTGTGAATTTGAATAACTTGCAAGGCAAAATTCTTTGTTTCAAACACTCCCTACTCAGAATAAAAAAGCAGTGCTTTGCTAAAATTTTTCTTTGCTGTTTCCATTTCCCCATCACCAATTTGCTTTTACCATGGCACAAACAAATTTTGCCCAACAAGAAGCAATATATGAATTTGGACAGTGCATTTGGAATATGAAATAACTTCTTAAAATTGTGGTCAGCTTTCTTCTGGTAGCCACCACATTATTAAAACATACCAGCAAATGTGACAGTCAATATGAAGAGGAGGAGGTGTCATTTTAGGAGGTACTTTTAACCAGATAGTGGCATTTTGACTGCTTCACTGGTTTAACATCCAAAAATAAAAATACTCTGTGTAAGCTGAGGCTTCCAAGCTTTACAGCAGGAGCAACAGGATGTCTGCTACCTCATGTTTAACAGAGATGTCTGTGCAGAGAATTAGGAAAAAGGAATCTAAACTTTACAGAAATAACAGTTCTCAGCTGCCTTGGAAAGTTTGGATCTAAGGCAAAACTCTGTTTGAGGGAATTAAGATTTGAGAAAAAGAAATTAAAAAGCTCATCATCCATTTAAATTATTTCTGGTTTATGGACACAAGCACTTGAAGTAAGCAAAGTCCTCAAACAAAGAAGAAAATAACAAAAATAACCATTGGAGCCAGATTTCCAACTCTGGCACATGGCTGGGTCTGCAGTTTACAGCCTGGTCATCCCTTTCTCTCAGAATTAGTTCTGCCAGAAAGTGTTTGCCAGCTTCAAATCTCAAATAAAAATCAATGTGCTCCCATATTCTGAAGTGCCCTACTGTTCAGAGAGCTCATTTTCATTTTCTTGCAATGGCTTGCAGGAAACACTTGCAGGGCTTTGGAACAGGGGAGTGTAATTAACTAAACCAAATAATTTCCCTGTTAATAAGGGGAGCAGGACACAACCAAACAAGAGGGCAAAAAAAGAAATGAAAGGATTCTTTTAAATGATAAATAATTCTTTTCTTTCAATATTTTTTTCTCATAAACTTCTTTTGGAAAGTTTAAGAAATGTCAAGGAAAATAACATTTCGGCCAGACTGTCTCATGAAGTTTGGCTCTTCTGAGACATTTGAGTAAGCAAAGCCCTCTTGGCACACTCTATGTCCTTACTCACAACGCTGAAATTCACCCTTCTAAGCAAAAAAAGAAAATTAGTTTTCTGCAGCAGAAATTAACCCAAGCCGTGCACCACTTTGCAACTACAGCATTCACTGGGTATGATCAAGTTATAACAATCCACTCTGCCACAAGCTGGAGCACTTCAGCAGGAGGATGGGGGAAAGACTGTGACCCAGGATCAGATCCAGGATCAGTCCTTCTAGTCTCCATCCCTTCTTTACCCTCCCTACCCAAACCATCCTGTGATTCTGTAAAGTTCACCTTTCACACAACTGCACAAGGATTCCAACAATTTCTACAAATACTCTCAGCCTGTAACCGGGCTAGAACACATTTTTAGAAAGTAGGCAAAATCCTACTTTGTGCCTGAGTTGGAACAAACATTCTCTAGGAATAGAAGCACAAATAGGTGCTATTTTCTGGGAGGTGAAGCCGGATTGCTATCAGGGATTAATTAACACGGCGTGGTTGGTCCTACTGAGTACACAAGTTCAGCATTCCAATACACACAGACTAATGGATTAATGATGCTTTAGTAATTATAGCTTTTATCTGTTCTGACCCAATGCTTTAATCTAGCAGTATATTTTTGGAAAAGTACCTGAAACAGAGAGGAAATCATCCACTGAAGTGATGTCGTCCACAGCCTCAGTGAGAACTCGCACCTGCTTCTCCCACTGGTCCTTGAACACGTCCATGTTGTCCTGGGCTACTTTGCTCTGGGGTCTGGCAGCCAATGTCAGTGCAGCATTAATTACCTGTTAATCAAAGCCGTTTGTTAGAGGAGGAGTGGTAATTTTATTCTATTTTTTTTTTTTTTTCCAAGGGAAAGAGCACATAGCTTATGGACTGTGTTAAAAATACAGCATACAACGCATTTGATACCAAGGGTCTCAAAACATGGATGCATTTTTCACAGTTCATGGAATTCAGGCAACAATCTCATGACAAAGACAAGGCCATGCTCTTCTTCTTATGCTTTTAAGTGCTAAAAGACTTCTCAAGCAGTTTTTAGCAGGGATCTTCACTCACCTGTGGGCACAGACTATCAATCTGTGTGGCTGCCATTCGGACTAACTTCACACCTTCCTCATTATTGGAGATTGAACAGGCCAGATTTGCAACCTGCAATGAAATCATGAAAACATCAGGATGAGAATCAAGTTTTAGGCAAGTGAGCCATTTTATACCTTTCTCTGTTCTTATTAAGCTTTGCCTGAAATGAAAGTTCTTTTACAAGAGGAATAATACATCTTCTGTGCTGGTGAACAGAAACCCATGTAGATGATTTCCTTTCTAGCAAACTGAACTACCCATCTTCTTCAGATGTTTCTCAGAATCTTCCTTCACTGTCAAGTGTTTCAAATCCTTCTCTATAGCTCAAATGTTTCAAATCCTTCTCTATAGCTCAAAAATTATCTGCTGAGAAGTTATATAGGGAATGCAGAACATCCAGATATTTATCTGTACATTTCCTCTTCTCAGTTTCTTTTTCCTCTTATGAACTACGTTCATTATTAATACAGGCAATCAGGCTCATCCATACACTCTGAGCTTGGCAAAAAGAAGGCTTTTTGATGTCTTAACACACAGAATCATACTTTTCAACCCATAATCAAAACTGATAGTGGGCAGTTACATATCTCTCAAATATTTTCATTGTTTCTGATAGTTTTGTGCATATTAAAATAATTTTAATTTTCATGTGGACTTCTTTATTTCTATGTGTTTGTCTGCCCTGCAGTAAAATATCCATTAGTAACAGTAAAGTCACTTAGAGATGTGAAATAACTCTGTTGAAACCTCTGTTCTGTAATATACATCTGAAGATCTCATTCAAAGATCTTTAAATCCACATTTACTTGCCATGGTACAGCTTTGGGAAGCCTGAGCCTCTATGACTGAAGGCTATTTAGATAAGATAAAGACTTGGAGAGACATCTGAATGAGACCTAGAAATCAGACCATGTCTCCAGACACAGCAGAGCTGCATCTCTGTGGCTTGGATTCAAGTGGGGGAGCATATTCTCCCAGCTTTTCCAAAAAATCCATTCCCAAATCTTTGTGCCAACTCCATGACTGTGCCCTGGCTTTTCCAAACAGCAATTCATGTCCCAGTGCACACTGTGATATTTCAATCACTAAGGCACATTTTGGGATGGGGGAATACAGGATATTTTTTAATCATCCAAAATGATGGCTCTTTATTCTAATCTTCATTAAAACAAACTTATAAAATTTTAAATATGCTTCCTTGATATAATTCACTGTGCCTGAAGGCATAGCTATCAGTTGGAAATGATTCATGAATTAGTTCAAATTCCCCCCTCTTCCCAGTTTTCCTCCAGTCTCCCCTTGTGGTATTAATCTGTTCTCATCTGCAGTGCACATCCCTGCCCTAGCCCTGATCCATCTGTTCTGCATAGAACCTATTTCACTTCCAGTTCTGTGCAGCATGGTTTGCATAAATCAGAGTGCCAAAGCCCAGGCAAGGAAAGAACCCAAGGCTTCAAAGAGTCTTGCAGGCATTTCCTAGTCAAGATTTTATCATAATGTTGTGATTTTTTATTTTCATTTCATGATGAGACAAATGAGTTGGTCTGTTTGTTAACAGCCTTACAGCCCTCCTGTCAAAAACATTCTCCTGAGATGACATCTTCCAATTAATTTACCATTTTCTGTAGTCACTTCTTTGCACACATCAAATAAAACCCTTTCATCTTCACCAGAACCAACAGCTAAGCAGGATAATATTTAGAATTCATTAACATAAGTGGAAATTACAGACTTTAAAAACCAGTAAATGATATTAAGTTTAGCAAGAGCCACCTTCCTGTATTAGAACTAAGTGGCTTTTCAGACTGCCCTTACATTTGGTGATTAACACAAAGAGAACTTGTCCCAAGGCTTCAGACGTAACATTTACATTTTTGCAGATAGAAATATGTGATGAAGGTTGCTGGGTGTCATGAAATGGCCATCAAACTCTAAAGCAGGTCTTTGAGTTCCTCTGGAAGGGAGCAATGCAGATATAACCAGCAAAAATAAAACTTATTTCTTCTCTGTGTCTATTAATTACTCTTTAAATAGAATCTGATAGACAATATTTGGATCTTGCAAAGTACTCTGTTTTTCCAAGAAAGATACAGACACAACCAGAGAAATCTTTTTTTCTCTTTTTTTGTAAAATAGAGTTCAGTACATTGTTTTGGGTGTTACTATCAACACAAGAGCACAAACATAATTATTGCTCCATGAAATATATATATCAAAGAGCATTACAGTTGTCTGTTTAAAATAAATAATGCTACACATCAAGTATAACCCTAAGTTTGATAGTTTCTGTGGTATTTTTCAAGCCTTGCATAAATCCAGCCCTGCATCATCAGCAGTCAGGCAGCAATATTATTGCACAATCCAGCAGGGAGTGTGCCAGCCTGCACCACAGCAAGATCTGATTATGTCAAATAAACACAGAGATAAGCAATTTCCACAATGGCAGATGCAATCTGGATAAAATTGAATTCAGCGCTACAGACCTATGACTTTACCCAAAACTTAATTTTTAAAAGATGGCAAGAAATCGCCTTACTTGCTCCAGCCTGAGTTTCAGTGCATAAGCATGGATCTGTGAAACAACACAAGCTTTAGGTGCTCACTCACCAGATACCTCACTTTTAATTACTTTGATTGACTTTGTTATCAGATACACAGTCAAGTCACCATCAATTAATATTCTTGCCACAGCAAGGTCCACATGCCTGCTCTGACTTGATAGAAACCACAAGGTAATTCCCTCTGCTTAAGCCTATTATAAATTCAGCAACTTCAGATATTTTTCCTACCTAAAGCTATGAATGAAAAGATTCATATACAATTGCACCCCACTTAGCTGACATTTCTGGATTATGATCCCTTTGGACAATGGATAAAAAAGGGAGGGCCCTTCCAGGGGCTGTTCCAGGTGCCTGCTTGGCTCATGCTCTAGATGTGTCTGGTTTGTTACAGTGCCCCTGGTGATAGTTGGAAAAGGTATTAGTGAAATAAAAGGTGTTTTACTGGTGCATTATAACTTGATTGGCATGGGTGTATTTAATGGAACATGTTTTGTGAAGAACAGAGACACTTTTGAGGTGGGAATTTCCTTCATGTGCCACTCCCGGGCTGGATGGAGCAGAGAGCTCAGAAAGGAAAATAAAAAAGCTGTGTATTTAGTGCAGCTGCCAATTTAGCAGGACTTTGATTTTAAGCCTTTACCTTTGCACTTCAAATTCTCTGTCTCCACCAAAGCATTGAAGGAGAAGTTTCCTGAGAGGCTATGGAAGCAACCAGGTAGTTAATTTATTTTTCTTTTCTTTTACTGTTTACTAAGTTCCTTGAGAACACTGAACTCAGTGAGTGCCTAAACAGAATTTAGGATTGTATTGAGATCAATGTGAACTGCCTGAAGAGTGCTTATATCAAGGAACACATTTTAAATATCAAAATCAATGAACTGTGAATCATTCTCAAAAACACATGGAGAACTTAATAACAGTGAAACTGCTGTGTGGATGAACATTATTGTCCAGAATTTCAGGTCTGCTAAGCTGCTCTTTTACCATCAAAACAATTGCTGAACACCTTAAACCTGTCCTGCAAGAGCACAGAGAGGTAATGAGCAAGAAGATAAACAGCCAGCTCCAGTGATGCTGTATTTTCCTGTAATCACCAAATCCACTGAACCAATACTCAACCTGGGGATGTGGAAAAGCAGGAACCAACTCCTCCATATGAATTTCTATCAGTGGCACTGACAGCCCAAGATGCATTTCTGTACCTTGCCTTTATATGTCTTAAATCATGCAAGGAGTTCCATTAGTTTTAGTTATTTAAAATACACACAGGACCAGTTCCTATAAAATCTATCTGTCTGTATTTTTTTTTTTGTTTTGTTTTTCAGCCTCAGTTTCCTGCTAGATAGCAGATTAGGGTGGGGAATGACTTTGTTTCTAATGCAAATTTTTATTACTCTTTGTGGCGACCTTAGGGGAGGAAAATTTAATTTCTGCCACAAAATTGCACTTCAAACTACAAAAGCAATCAAGGATCTTTCATATCAATTGACTTCATTTTTACACTGATTAAAATCAGGTGTAGCTACCTTTTGTTGTGGTTTTAAATGAGACTATTTCCATTTTTGACTTGAGCCCTTTGTATTATTAAAGGTAACCATGACTATCAAGATATATTGTGCTCTTCTGACTACCAAAATCCATTGTCTTCTGTTTCAAAATTAAATTCAAAGATTTAACATGGCCATTTGGAATTCAACCTAAGTGAAAAGGTCCAAAAGAAAAATCTATTGCTTAGAGCAAAAATGTAAAAGAAGGGAGCAGTATAAGCTACAGCAAAAGAGCAATAGCAACACAAAAGCTGCAGAATATCCTATTTTTTAACATTTTCCTTATTCTTTTTTTCTCACCATAAATTGCTTAGAAGAAATAATACTGAAAAGGCTCTGTTCAGCTTCCCCAGTCATTTAACCATTTAAAGGTAGAGAATGGGATCTATTTCTATCTCAGTTTCTTAGTTTTCCACTTTTTTTTGAAATATTTAAGATTTCTTCTTAAATAGTTTTATCCACATTTTTCTATTCATGTAATTTATGTTTTCACTGTAATTAACTGGTGGAATTAATAGGAAGAAAAACGTTTGCAAGAAATTATTCTTTTTTAAGAAAATGCAGAGTAATTTACACAAACCCAAGCCACTGGTAAACTGCTATGCCTACACCACATATTTGAGAAGCTGAAACTTTTTGAGTGATTCAGCTTGAGCTGAAGGTGGTTTAAGGCAGAGACTTCTGCAGTACTCACAGGGGACTAAAGCCAGGCCAATAATCAATTACCATGTTCAGCTGATGAGACGTAATTTGCTGAGCTGTGGTATCTCAACTATTTGTAATTATTTATCCATTCACTTAGTAATTTATCCAGATATTGCTTCAATCTCTGAATCCTTAAAAATTCTGACATATATTAATGGTGGTACTGCTGTAGGCAGCCCAGTGATATTCATGGAGCTACAAATAAGAGATTTTTTTTTTCTAAAGGAGAGCAGAGTTGAAGCCAAGCTACCCAAGA